GGAGAATTACTGAAGAGGAATCTAGTGCATAGGTGAAGGGAGAGGGGGAGAAGCACTTCTACTTCTCTAAGGTAACGGGAAGGAAAAGAAGGTATATGAGTACAGGCTGGCAAGCAGGAAAAAATTGAGTGTTTTTTCCCCTCTTGTTGCTTGTCCAACAATTTCTACTATAAACCCATGGGGAAGGAGGGTCAGGCATCCCCAAGCAAGTCTGTCTCAATCTACAAGACTAATGAGTATTCAGGGCAGAGAGTAATTTCTAGGAAATCTTGGATAAGATTAACTTCATAGTTTGTATTTTACGGAAGGAAGCAAGATAATCAACAACAGGGCTGAACTGGACTGAGGAGGTTTGTTATTGTTAAGTGCAGTTGAGTGGGTTCTGACTCATAGTGACCCTATGTAGGGTTTCAGAGGCTTTTAAATTATTGCGGGAGCAGACAGCCTCATGTTTCTCCCGAGGAGTGGCTGGTGGGTTTGAACTGCCAATCTTGTGGTTCATAGGCCTGTGTTTATCCTACAATTATTGTTAAGTGCTGTCAAGTCGATTCTGACCCATACGACCCTGTATAGGGTTTCCAAGGAGTAGCTGGTGAACTTGACTTGCCAACCTTGCAGTTCAAACAAATTTGCAGTTTGACACATCAACCCACAGCGCCACACCATGATTCCTATCCTACAATGAGAAGGGCGAATTCTGGATCACGCTGAAGGCTGGCTGCTGTTCGCAAAACTTCCTTAGGGATCAGGCCTATAGTTAGAACAGATGTTGATTTTGAGGCAGGAGAGGCGGTGGAAGACTGGAGGAAAGCAAGATGGTCTGTATGAAGATAAGCCAAATAAAGAAAGGGCCTGGCTTGCAAAATGTGCCCTTTGGACACTTATCTGAGTATTTATTTTCAGTGTGGTGTGTGTACATGAAGGAAAAAAAAAGGGAATAGAGGTGAATACTGTTAACTGATGGTACATGGAAGGAAGGTATTGTAATCATTGCAATGTAAAGCTGATGGATGATCTTCCCTGTAAACTTTCACTCAATTCATAATAAAATCTTAAAAAAAAAAAAAGGGGGCAAGCTTGTTCCTGAATTGTAAGCAGCACTGTTTAATATTCATAACTCAAATTCTGGAGCACAGGACACCAGAATTCAAATCTAGACCCTACCACTTAATAGCTGTGTGTCCTTTGGTAAATTACTTAGCCTTCTGATTTCTATATTCTCCTTTATAAATGGGTATGGAATATCAATATCCACTTCATAAGATTAGCAGAGGGTCAAACTCCTAGCATAGCTTAGAAAATGATTTCTGCTTTTCAATACTGGCAAGATCACTAGTTTTTGTATTCTTCTGATGGGCAGATTGGTATTCTAAGCCTTGCCAGACTTAGGTAATGAAATAATACAAGTGTAAGTAGGTAATCCTTGCCTCGAAGGAGTTCATAATCTAGATGAATAAACAAGGCAACACAAACAACAGTTAATGTATTAGTTAAATACGGAAAGGCAGAATTACAGTTCCGACTATACGTGTAAAAGGAATTCAGATAAGAAATCCTATTGTGTCTTAGAACACTATCATTACTGGATTCTTCTGAGGTGGCTTTTAGGGGTCTGAAAGCATACTTCTATTTAAGGGGCTCTTCTATTTCTGTTGTTTTCAGGAGACTCTGAAATGGCTGCGCCACTGACTTAGGAAACTAGCTTTCGCCACACTTCATTCTTGGAAGAGAGACCTGAGCTTTAGAACTCACTCTGAGTGGTGGAACGCTCACAACTTACTGTTTGTTCAGTATCTGCTCACAACTTACTGTTTGTTCAGTGTCTATAAAAGGAACTGGTAAACATGGTCACTATCAATCATCAATTTAATGTCCAGAGGACGTTGGCTTGAGGCTCTGGCAAGCAGTCCTCTCTCCCTACCTCCCTTTTACAGGAAGACTGGTCAGGAAGAGTGAATGCCTTACTCACATTCACAAATAGTATGTGGGAAAGAGCTAGGGTGAGAAGACAAATTACATAGGATATGCTGTTATGCAGTGTGGTGTTGTTAGGTGCTGTCCAGTCAGTTCCGACTCATAGTAACCCTATGGACGACACTGAATGAAACACTGCCCAGTCTTGCGTCATCCCCACAATTGTTGTTACGCTTGAGTCTATTTCTGCTGCTACTGGGTCAATCGATCTCATTGGGGATCGTCCTCTTTTTTCACTGACCCTTCACTTTACCAAGCATGGTACAGTGACTAGTCCCTCCTGATAAAATGTTCAAAGTATCAGAGAATATATCTCACCATGTTTGTTTCTAAGGAGCATTTTGATCCTACTTCTTCCAACACAGATTTCTTTGTTCTTCTGGCAGTCTGTGGTACTCAAATGCATCAATTCTCTATGGACTTCATCATTGTCCAACTTTCACATGCATATGAGGCAACTGAAAAAAACTATGGTTTGGGACAGGAGCACCTTAGTCCTCAAACTGACATCTTTGCTTTTGAACACTTTAAATAAGTCTTGTGCAATAAATCTGCCTAATGCAATAGGTCATTTGATTTCTTGACTGCTGCATCCATGCGTGTTGAGGTTGTGGATACAAGCAAAATGAAACTCTGGACAACTTCAATCTTTTCTCCATTTATCAGGATGTTATTTATTGGTCCAGTTGTGATCTGTGTTTTTTTTTACACTGAGGTACAATTGATACTGAAGGCTGTGGTCTTTGATCTTCATGTTTATGCAGCCATCGCAAGCAGTTCAAATGAGAGGTGTCTTCAGGCAAGTGTAAGAGACAGCTCGGTTAAGGAAGAAATATAGCCAGGATATTCCGTATGTCTCACCATCCTTTGTACATATTATCAGGAGGGACCAATCCCTGGAGACGGACATTGTACTTGGTAGAGGGTCAGCGAAAAAGAGGAAGAGCCTCACGAGATGCACTGACACAGTGCTACAACGGGCTGAAACACAGCTGAGTGTGCAGATCAACTGGGCAACATTTTCTTCTGTTATATTCAGGGTCATTGCAAGTTGGAACTGACTTGATGGCACCTAACAACATTGTGTGGCACTGTGGGTTAATGTGCTGGACTGCAAAGTCCATTTGAACTGCAAGATTGGTGGTTCAAGTTCACCAGCCACTCCTTAAAAGACCTATACAGGGTCACTATGGGTCAGAACTGACTTGACGACACTTAACAAGTACAAGAGGAAGGGAACCAACATTTATTGTATTAGGTTCCTAACGTGCAGATTTGTGCTAGGAGATTTTCATGTAGTTTTGTTTTTTTTTTTAAAAAAAAAAGAAACTAAGTTTAGGTTCTGGATTTAGCAGTTCTTAGGTGTGATTATTTTGAACAAATAATTTTTTTGTCTTTCTGGAGCCTCAGTTTTCAAACCTTTAAAGAGAAGGCAAGGATTTCTGCTTGCCCACTTTACATGGGTTGTTGAGGAGATCAGAAGAAACTCAAAAGGGATCATAAATCCTCTGTCTCTTCTTTGGGAGCCCTAGTGGCACAGTGATTAAGGCTTGGCTGCTGAAAGGTCACAGGTCATTGGTTTGAACCCACCAGCTGCTGGATGGAAGAAAGATGTGGTAATCTGCTACCTTAAAGATTTACAGTTTAGGAACCCCTATGGGACAGTTTTGTCCTATAGGATCACTGTGAGTTTCCTTGACAGCAACAGATTTGGTTTCCTCTCCATCTTCCCATAGTGCCTTATTATGATATGGTAATTTCCCTTCCCTTCTACTAAGTGGTAAAGGAGCCCTGGTGGCACAGGGGGATAAAGGTTGGGCTTGCCAAACACAAGATCGGTGGTTCAAACCCACCAGCTCCTTCACAGGAGAAAGATGAAGCTGCTTTCATAGAGATTTCCAGAAACCCTAAGCAGCAGTACGGCTGTGTCCTATAGGATCACTGTGACTCGGAATGAACTCAATGGCATTAGGTCTAGGCAGGAAGGATGCAGATAGGAGGAGTGCAGTTCCTGATATAAGGGATCTGAGAGAATATAAGGCTGCAAACTGAACTGTGGAGAAGTGCTTATGTGATTCCTTGACAGGGACGCTAAGAGGATATCAGTGGAACCCTGGACGATTCTAGTTTAAGGAACCTAGTCTCTCCTGTGGCTGGAGTCCTGGTGTGGTGCTGTGGTTAAGGCGCTGCACTGCAAAGTTGGTTTGATCTACAAGGTCGGCGGTTCAAGCTCACCAGTCCCTCCACGGAAACCGTATACAGGGTCGCTATGGGTTAGAACTGCCTCGGCAGCACTTGACAACAACAGTCTCTCCTGCAGCCCCATTTTTGGAAGCAGATCGCCAGGGCTTTCTTCTAAGATGCCTGTGTGGGTACCTGAACCTCCAACCTTTCAATCAGCAACGCTGAGTGGGTTTACCTCATCTCTCCCTCCCCATAAGGAGCTCTGATAGTGTAATGGTTACGAATCGGGCTGCTAACCCCTAGGTTGACAGTTCGAAACCACCAGTGCTTCCGCGGGAGAAAGATGAGGCGGTCTGCTTTCGTAAAGATTTACAGCCTCGGAAACCCTTTGTAGGCTCACTATGAGTCGGAACCAACTCCATGGTGCTTAACAACAGCTCCCTTCCCATGCCCTGTCCCCAGCAAGTCACCTGCTCTTTCCCTACCAATCCCGGTCCAGTCCCTCTTTACTGCGTCCTCAACCCTGTACCCTGGAGGAGTGAACTTGGAACTCCAATGGCTGGACTCAAATTCTAGTTTCGACAGTCATTTGTTTGCTAAGTGGTGACCTTGGGCAATTTAAGTCTTTCTTTTAAAAAACTCTTAAAAATCGCCTACGCCTGACCAGCTAACGGGCTACTAGGAGGCTCAGGGGGATAAAGGACAAGGATGTTCCAGGTCAAAACCAAATCTCTGCTGAGGCCTTCTGTGCCTCTCGGCTTCTGTTTCTTCCGCTGCCCCCTCAGCTCCTAACAGTCTCGTGATCTTCACACTTCCTCTCTCCCCCATGTCCCGGAGCTCACCTGCAGGCAGGCTCCGCCATGGGTCACGGCCGAGAACCCGCGCTTCAAGGAGACTCCAACCACCGCTGCCATCTTGGCTCCTGACGTCGAGCCCCACCCCCTAACCCTGAGGTGACTGTCCGCCCGCGTCCCGCTGAACACCGCGGCGCGGATCTAAAGTCCACTCAGAGCCAGTTAGCCGCGTAGGAGCTACCAAGTGTGAGGTGACTTCCGGCTTTTCCTGGCGGAAGGAGATCAGGCGGGGAAAAGTCAACATGAGCATGCGCAGTTGCAGGCTATTCGGCGCATGCTCATATGAATGCTTGGCCTCCCGCGTTACTAAGGTGACCTTCTCAGAGGAAGCGGGTGGAGATTGAGAAGGAAGACGGCCTGAAGAAGGGCGAGACTCAGACCAAGAGAAGGCGGAGCCATTACATCCAGATCCTTTCCTGATTTTAACCCGTCTCCTGCCGCATTGGGTTAATGCGCTGCACTTCAAAGTCGTTTGAACCTTAAAGTCAGCGGTTCAATATCACCAGTCGCTCCTCGGAAACCCTATACAGGGTCGCTATGGGTCAGAACCGGCTCGACGGCACTTAACAACATTCTGAAAACTTGGTAGTCACATCACTTTTCTGTCTCTCAATGGCTGCAAGCAAACATTTCTGTTAGATACATTATTGTTTGCCTGGTACTGTCTAGATGTTAACACCGAGAATCTGGAGTTCCGAGAAGTCACTCAGTCTCGTGAAAATCGAGAAGACTGGTGAATGAATTGAAGTGATCACATTAATTCCTCTAAAATGTCATTCATTCAAAAATAAGCATTGAGCATAGACGATGTTCTAGGCTCTAGGCGCTGGAATGCAAGCTGGCCTGTCACTTCCCTTAGGTGTATACGAACAATTACAAGCCAATGAGCTACTGTTATGTAAAACAGCCTTTGGTGGGGGTGGTGGTGGTTATGTGCGGTGGAGTCAAAACCGACTCAAAGTGACCACGTACAAGGTTTCCGAGGATGTAAATCTTTATGGGAGCAGAAAGCCTCATCTTTCTCCCGCGGAACAGCTGGCAGTTTTGAACTGCTGGCCTTAAGGTTCGCAGCCCGATTCGTAATCACTATGCTACCAGAGCTCTTTTAGGGTTTAGCTATTAGCATCAGAAACCATTATTTGAATGTGTCATACTAAATCCCAAACTAGTTGCAGTCAAGCAGATTCCTACTCATGGCAACCCCATGTGTATCTAAGCAGGGCTGCTCTCGAAAACATAAGGGTTCTAAGAAAACCTAAGACTACACACTTAATTGTGGAGAAGAAGAGTTCCAAGTTTTGTATTTATGTGAGCCCTTGACAGGGACACTAAGAAGATTTCAGTGTAACTTTAGGTGACTCTAGTTTAAGGAACCAATGTGGCACTGTGGGTTAATGCACTGAACTGCAAAGTCATCTGAACCACAAGGTCGACCATTCAAACTCACCAGCTGCTCCTCAGAAACCCTATACAGGGTTGCTATGGGTTGGAACTGCCTCAACGGCACTTAACAACAATTTACAGCCTTGGAAACCTTATACAGGGCCATTATGAGTCAGACTCAACTTGATGGCAATGAGTTTGGTTTATGGAGTTTATATGCCAAACACTATGACCTTAAGCCCTACGACAGTCCTGTGAGAGAGTATTTTTTTAGTCTTTATTTTTGTCATCTCAGATACTTTTCCCGAGAGATGTAAGTAGCCTGGACAAGGCACCTGAGCCCTCCAAATTCATGGGTCCCTTCGCTTACCTCGGGCACTTATATATATATAAGTACCTGGGTTTCCCAGGAATGATGCTCTTTCCTCTCTACCAGTTGTTTTTTGACATATTTTTGTAGTCTTTTGTTTCCAGATATCAGCTCATTTAGATGTTGCTGGAGAAATTAAAAAGACTGGATGAATTGGTTAGAGGTGGCTAAGATTCTGGACTGCTTTGCTGGAATTCACTGCATTGCTAATGTGGCCTCATGACAGGAAGTGTGTAGTGAGGTCACGAGAAACAGCCTAAGCCCTGTGGTCTAGTCTGGAATCTTCCCCTCATAGCTGTGTGACCTTGGACAAATCCCTCCCCATCTTTAGCCTAGAACTTTTTTGCCTGTATCATCAGGTGACTTAAGATTCTGGCCCATATGGTTACCTTTGCAGTGGTAACTGGTGACAAGACTTCGATCACCCTGAGTTTTCAGTGGAACAGACTCAGCATTAGAATAAGGTTCCTCTGTGTCCGCCACAAGGGTTACCCAAGTCAGCTGAAATTGTGGAAAGACTGCCTATCTCCTTTTAGCCCCATCTTAGCTGATTTGTCTTGTTTTCTAGATGAAGGAAGAGTATCCATTCCTGCCAAGGGTCATATTGCTAGTGAATCTGTCCTCTTGGTATTCTCAGAGTTCTTTCATCCCAAAGACAAATGGCCTCCTTAGGTGCCCTTTCATTGTGTCCAGATCACCTTGGAAAACAGTCTGAGGTCAATAAAAGTGAGACTTTGATTTACGGAGGGACTCTTGGTGCCAATGAACCCACATGCCCTGTGGTCACATCATTCCTGAGCATCATGGGGATTTGGGGAGCTCAGAGTTATAGAGAAATTATGTCCTGGGCAGCTGTACCTCCGCCCTGAACTTTGGGATTCTAGAAAAGCACAGCTGCCAAGTGACTTAGAGATTTTCATGGCTTGCTCCTGACATATTTTCCCAAGGTGGCCTTTCGATAAGACTTAAGGTTTTTTTGTTGGTTTGTTTCCACTTGACAAGAGAGTGAAATATTGCTTTTCACCAGCCTGGAAGATATGAGCCTCATCACATACAACTGTGTTTCTATAAACAGTTATATTTAGTCCTCACAGTAACCATTTTGGGGTTGGAATAACTATCCCCATTTTACAGACTGTTTTAATCTTTGGATAATGGGAAAGCTGAACAGCCCTGATTGGAAATATTGTTTTAGGAGCTCTTTAGTCCCCACGGCTGGAGGTCACATCCAGAATTAAAAGTTAAAGCCAAAAAACATAGTGTCATTTAAGCAATCAAGTACACTTCTAGTACTTAGAGCAACATGGTGGTTTCTCTTCAGCTGGAGGGCTATGAAGAATTGAGTTTCTGTAGAAATGTCAGATGATTTTATCTGGGCCGATGAGACTGAGATTTATTTGCATTTTGGAAAGTCACTCTAAGTGATACCAGTGGTGGGACTTTGGGGCCTTCACATGCAACTTTCAGGCTTTCATTTGCATTCTCCCTCTCCTGGGTGATTCTCCCTGTGTATCCTGCTGTCTTCTGGATATCTCCATCTAGATGGCCCTGTGGCCCCTAAACTCAACCTGTCCCAAACTGCACATATCACCTGAGGAGTTTCTAGCCTATCCCCTGACCAGCACCTCCATCTCCTCATTCTTCAAGCTGGTAACTTGGTGGGGTCCTTAATGTTTCTCCCCCTTGCATACCCAATCAGTCACCAACTCCAGCCACAACCTCCAAGGCCCCCGAGGAGTGGTCTGACCCAAAGCCCCTCCTGGGATAAAATGCGTCCTGTTCCCCTCCTTGTTCCTCAATACCCCACCTTTGCTCATGCTGTACTATGGGCCTGGAGTGCCCTTTCTTTTTTTTTTCACATGGTTTTGGTGATAGAAACTATGCTGGAGATCCCATGATAGAATTTTGCAAGACCAATGACTTCTTCATTGCAAATGTCTTTTTTTTTTTTCAATAACATAAAATATGGACAGTCCCTGGAGAAGGCCATCATGTTTGGTAAAGTGAAGGGTGAGCAAAAAAGAGGAATGCCCCCAACTAGATGGATTGACGCAATGGCAGCAGCAATGGGCTCAAATGTAACAACATTTGTGAGGATGGTGCAGAACCAGGTAGTGGTTGGTTCTATTGTGCATAGGGTTGCTATGAGACGAAACTAACTTGACAGCACTTAGCAACAACAAACATACATGGACCTCAGTTGATGGAATACACAGGAATCCATTTAACTACATCTGTGGGAAGAAACAATAGAGAAGCTCACAATCATTAGTCAAAACAAGACCAGGAGCCAACTGTGGAACAAGCCGTCACTTGCTCCTATGCAAGTTAAGGCTGAAGCTGAAGAAAATGAAAACAAATCCACAAGGGTCAAAATATGATCTTGAATATAACTCACCTAAATTTAGAGGCCATCTGAAACCGATTTGATGCATTAGATGCTAATGACTGAAAACCAGAAGGGTCGTGGGATGCTACCAAGAACACCATACATGAAGAAAGAAAGCAAAAGATCATAAAACAATAGGACAGAAAGAGCAGACCAAAACAGATGTCCGAAGACATTCTGAAATTTGCTCTTGAGCATACAGAAGCTAGAGTGAATGAAAGAAATGAGGAAATAAAAGAGCCGAACAGAAAATTTCAAAGGACACTTCGAAAAGTCAAAGTAAAGTATTATAACTAAATGTGCAAAGACCTAGAGTTAGAAAACTAAAAGGGAAGAACATGTTATTTTCAGTCAAAAGAACTGAAGAAAAAATTCAAGCCTCAACTTGAAATACTAAAGGATTCTACGGGCAAAATATTGAATAATGCAGAAAGCATTAAAAAAAAAAAAAAAAGGAAGGAATACACACAGTAATTCTACCAAAAAAAAAAAAGTAGTCAATGCCCAACCATTTTAAGATATAGTTTATGATCAAGAGGAGTCCTGGTGTGGTGTACGGTATTCACTGGACAGTTAGGTTGGTTTGAACTGCAAGGCTGATGGTTCAAACTCACCAGTCACTCTTCGGAAATCCTATACATGGTTGCTATGAATTGGATACGACTCAATGTCTCTTAACAACAACATATGATGAGGAATCAATGGTATTGAAGGAAGAAGTTCAAGCCACCCTGAAGACAATGGCAGAAAACAAGGCTCCAGGAATTGACTCAGTATCAATTGAAATGGAAGACAGCTGTCTGGTCAACAGATTGGAAAAGATCCATATTTGTGCCCATTTCAAAGAAAGGTGACTCAAAAGAATGTGGAAATCATTGAATAATATCTTGTTATCACGAGCAAGTAAAATGTTGTTGAAGATAATGAAATAACGATTGTAACAGTACATCGACAGGGAGCTGCCAGAAATTCCAGTCAGATTCAGAAGATGTGGAATGAGGGATATCATCATTGCTGCCATCAAATGAATTTTGGCTGAAGGCTGAGAATACCAGAAAGATAGTTACTTG